GTGAGGATGTGCGATAAGGATGCAAGGGCCTTGGGAACCCACTTCTGGATCGTGCAGCCCTGGAGGGCCAGAATGCTTTCTAAACCTTCTATGGTACATTATGTTTGGTGGTTTGCAGCCCTTGAGTGGCCTCTCTGTATATATATATATATATATATATATGAATATATCCCTTCCGAATGATATCAGTGTTGGTAACAGTAAGCCTTGGTGTACCATAATCCTTGTGGATCCTTCCCAAAGATACCAGAGACGACAACACCAATCCTGGACCGAGCGTACCATGCCTCCCCAAAGGGCAGCGGTGCAACTGACCATCGCCACCACCATCATCAACGTGAGCATTAGCATCGGCATTATCATCAACCTCCTCATCATCATCATCAGCATCATCATCATCATCGTCATCATCATCATCATCATCATCATCATCAACAGCTTCACCATCATCAGCATCGTCATCGTGTTCCTCCTCATCATCATCACCATCATCATCACCACCATCATCATGATCACTATCACCATCATCATCACCATCATCATCACGATCACCATCATCATCATCATCACCACAACCACCAAGATCCTCCTCCTCCTCATCATCATCTTCCGCATCATACAAATCATCACCATCACCATCACTCTCCTCCACATCCTTCCTCCTCCTGCTCCTCATCATCCCCACCACCATCATCAGCATCAGCATCATCATCAACATCAACATCAACTTCCTCATCATCGTCATCGTCATCGTCATCACCATCATCGTCACCATCACAATTTCCATCATCAGTACTGTCATCATCATCATCATCATCATCATCATCATCATCATCATCATCATCATCATCAAAACCACCATCACCATTACCATCATCATCAGCATCATCATACTCATCCTCGCCATCACGATCATTCCCCTCCTGCTTCCTCCTCCTCATCATCATCGCAACTACCATCATCATCATCGTCGTCGTCATCGTCGTCGTCATCGTCGTCGTCATCATCGTTATCATCGTCGTCGTCGACGTCCCCATCGTCGTCATCGTCGTCCCCATCATCATACTTATCATCCTCATTATCCTCATGATCAGCATCGTATCATCAGCATCACGACATCATTATGATCACCATCATCGTCATCATCATCGTTATCCCCACCACCATCATCGTCATCATCACCATCAACATCAACCTGACCATCATCATCAGCACCACCATACACAACATTATCATCACCATTACCACCACCATCATCATCACCATCATCACGTCATCATATAATCATCACTATATCATCAGCATAAACATCACCATCGTCATCATCATCATCATCATCATCATCATCATCATCATCATCATCATCACCATCACCATCATCCGCCGCATCCTCTTCCTCCTCCTCCTCTCCTCCTCCTCCTCCTCCTCCTCCTCCTCCTCCTCCTCCTTCCCCGTCCTCCGTCCTCCGTCCCTCCTCCTCCACCGTCCCTCCTCCTCCGTACTCCGTCCTCCGTCCCTCCTCCTCCTCCTCCTCCTCCTCCTCCTCCTCCTCCTCCTCGACGCCTCGTCGACGGTGTGCGCTCCCCGGTGGGCGTGTCCGCACAGCACAGCCACGGGCGGGTACTCCCGCAACAGGCTGAGCGCCTCCTCGTGCGGAGGGGAAGGAGAGGGCGACACCGCGAGGAGCGACCGCCCCTTGGCGGGGAGGGACGTGGGCGTGGTCTCGCGAGACGGCACACTCCTCCTCCTCCTCCTCCTCCTCCTCCTCCTCCTCTTCCTCCTCTTCCTCTCTCTCCTCCTCCTCCGCCTCCTCCCGCCTCTCCTCTTCCCCCTCTTCTCCTCCTCCTCTCTCCTCCTCCTCCTCCTCCTGCTCCTCCTCCTCCTCATCCTCTTCATCCCTCCTCCTCCTCCTCCGTTTCCTCCTCCTCCTCCTCCTCCTCCTCCTGCACATCCCAGGGTTCGCTCCTCCTCCTCCTTATCCTCTTCATCGCTCCTCCGACTCTTCCTCCTTCTCCTCCTCATTCCGGGGTTCGCTCCTCCTCCTCCTCCTCCTCCTCCTTCTGCTCCTTCTCATCCTCCTCCGTTTGCCCTCCTCCTCCTCCTCCTCCACCGTCCTCCTCCTCGCATCCTCCTCCTCCTCCTCATCATCCTACTCCTGGTTGATCCTCCTCATCCTCCTCCTCCTCCTCCTTCGTCCTCCTCCTCCTCCTCCGTCTTCCTCCCCTCCCTGTCGGACCCCGAGGCCAATCGAAGGGCGGGCCTGGTGTTTCGCCCAAGATTTCCTCACCACTCCTGATCCTGAAGTTTGGACTTTGCAGCATGTTCACGGATGCAAGGCGGGTGGTTTTCAAGATGTGGCTCTCGCCGTAGCGCCGCGCACATCCATGCGATTTGCAAGACCTTCGCGGATTGAGAACGGGTGGTTTTCAACATGTGGCTCTCGCCTAGGCGCCCGCGCGCATCGTTTGTTAATGTTTGTACGAGCTTCACGGATGGAGGGCAGGTCGTTTTCAAAATGTGGCTCTCGCCGCACACACCCGTCATACAAAATTGCAACAGCCTCACGGATGGAAGGCGGGCCGTTCTCAAAAACGTGGCTCCTGCCTCGGCGCCTCGCAGGTCCGCGCTGAAACTTTTGAGGAGGGGGCGGTTCCTTTGTCAACATGTGGCTCTCGCCGTGGCGCTGCCCACATTCGTCTGAAGAGTTTGCACCGGTTTCAAGGGATGTCAAGGTTGAAGTGCCAAAGCGTGTGTGTTTGGCGCGATTTCGGACTGTCGGGGCGCAGCAGTTATGTGGATTCGTGGTGCTGCAACCCCTGGCACTGTTCAGGATCGTCAAGATGGTGTTCTAGCACCGTTCAAGCTTTTCAGACGGTTATTCTCCAACGGGGTACTTCCTTCAGTGAGCATGAACCCTTATAGGGGCCTATGAAAAAGGGAGCTTGGAGGGAGAAGTGATTACAATCTCGTTGATGGGCCTTCATGCGAACTGCGCCACTAAGGCCTTCGGTGGAGCTCCCTATGGGGGCCACGAAACGCTGTACTGGGCGTGACAGACGCATGCGTACTGCGCCACTGGAACCTTCGGTGAAGCTCCCTCGGGGGCTAGGAAAAGCTGTGATGGGCGTGGGAGACGCATGCGAACTGCACCACTGGTACCTTCGAGGGAGCTCCTGATGCGGCCACGAAGCGCTGTATTGTGTGGTGGAGACGCATGCGAACTGCGCCACTGGGACCTTCTGTGGAGCTCCCTTATGGGGCCACGCCACGAAACGTTGTCCCTGGGCTGTGTGGGTTGGAGGAGGGATGAGGGGGGGGAGGAGGAGGAGGAGAGGAAGGGGAGGAGGAGGTGGGACGCGGGGCGCTGTCTCGTCAAAACGATGACTCAATACCACAGGATGGTTGGGAATAGCATGACAACTGTGGTTAGTCTTCCACTTTTCAAGAAAGCAACAAACAAAGCCACAGCACAGTGAGATTTCAAGCCGGGAGCGCCTGAACGTTGCCCTCCTCCTCGCTGTCGGGAAGAAGGGGAAACATCCAGCCCCGACCTCTTCTTCCTCCTCAACCTCATCGGGCGGGGAGGGGTTGGAGGGAGGAGACCCAGCCTTGAAGCAGCTGGTCTGGCGAGGCTGCGCTCGGCCTCCAAACCTTCAAGAAAAAGTCCGAAGGCAGCCGCAACGCGCACGAGTTCCCAACGCCCGCCCTCGCCCCACACATGCAAATTCTGAACGAGGGCTTGCTTTTGCCCGCAAAATTTGCCAGCGCGAGGGGCCAGCATGGGCCAGCATAGCAGAGGGAGCTTGGGGGGAGGGCAATCTCCTCGCGCGGGGGGGGGGAAGTGATTGCAAGGTTCGGCTAGACAGAGCACTGCTTCCCAAGAGTATCCACCACAAGCAGCACACCGAACAACGGTTTGGCTCCTTGGGAACGCAGGAAGGAAGCCAGAGGGCAGACAGCGACACATCGCTCAGTCGGAACTGAAGTCCTTGGAAGGCTGCTAAATGCGCAACGTCATCCGCAACCTCCCGAGACAAAGCCTTCCCGGGGCGCGCGCGGCGGCCGCCCTTGTGCCCGGGCCGCGAAGTTCGGTGGGGGGGGAGGCATCGCCGCCCGAGGCCTCCCGCGGAGCAAGGGGGGAGCAACAACATCATCACAATCCGAAATCACGCCTTCCTGGATGGCCGCCCGCCGCGCAAACTCTTCAAGAGTGTCTGCTAGGGTACCCAAGGTATCCTTACAGTCAGCGATGTCAGGATGTTGACTAACGCCTTGTTCGCATTGAAGTCCGCAGCACGGTTGCCACCCCAGTCATCTTCTGAAATCTTGCCCGCCGTCACCGTCGAAAACCGAAGGGGGCATTTGACTTTGGCGGCGGATGCATCTGGAAACAACCTGTGGAACTCTTCCCACAAGTGGCATCTCGAATTGCGGACAAAGATCGAATGAACCTTACCATGTACAGCACCAGCCGTTCCCTGGCCGTCGACGTGAAAAACACAAGTGCCGCGGGCAAGGCCTCAGGGGGGGGATGCGCGCCGCCCCCGCCCTTAGATGACGTCGCGTTCCGCGCCGGCGGCGTCCAGGAATGCATGAAGAAGACGAGGGCCAAATAGGAGCAGCATGTAGGTGGCGATCTGCACCACAGCGCCTGTGTACACCACAGTGCTCGCGTGCACCACAGCGCGCGTGTACACCACAGCGCTTGTGTCCACCGCGACAGCCGTGTGTCACGCAGCGCCTGTGTACACCACAGTGCTTGCGTGCACCACCGCGCCTGTGTATACCATAGCGAATGTGTACACCGCAGCAACCATGTGCAACACAACGCCTGTGTACACCGCAGTGCTCGCGTGCACCACAGCGCGCCTGTACACCACAGCGCCTGCGTCCACCGCATCAGCCGTGTGCAACGCAGCGCCTGTGTACACCACAGTGCTTGCGTGCACCACAGCGCCTGTGTACACCGCATCTAATGTGTATACCACAGCAACCATGTGCAAGAGAGCGCACTTGTACACCACAGCTCGCGTGCACCGCAGCGTCTGTGCACACCACAGCGCCTGTGTACACCACAGCATCCGCGTGCAACGCAGATCTGGTGTACACCACAGTGCCTGCGTGCAGAGGACAGGTAGAAGGAGCATGCAAGTAAGGATCTGCTTCGGACAGCTAAACACCACGCCAGGGAAGCGCTGATACTGTTGCACACGGTTGCTGTCGTGCACACAGGCGCCGCGGTGTACACAGGCGCTGTGGTGCACGCGGGCACTATGGTGTACACTGGTGCTGTGTTGCGCATGGGTGATGTGGTGTACGCAAGTGCTGTGGTGCCCACAAGCGCTATGGTGCACGCAGGCACTGTGGCACACACTGGCGCTGTGTTGCACGCGGCAGCTGTGGTGTACATAGGCGGCGTGGTGTACATAGGCGCTGTGGTGCACGCAGGCACTGTGGTGTTCACAGGCGCTGTGATGCTGATCGCCACCTACATGCTGCTGCTACCCGTCCTCGGTCATCCCTAGGCATTCCCAAACGACGCCGGCGCGAAACGTGACGTCATCGCCCCCCCCACATGACGGCCGTCATCGGCCCAGATTAATATATCAGACTCTTGACGGCCGTGCGTAGATTTATCGACTGTCATGTTAACTCAGCTGCGTCGTGCTCCTCTAAGCTGCGGGCTTCCTAGCTTTCGTTCCACTGGTGGATATCTCGGGAGAAAGGTTCGCGAACCTTGCGAAATTTACGGAATTCACTTACGCGCGTCATTTACGTAACGTACGGCCGAGCGCAAATTTACCGACCGGCCATGTTCACTGGGCTGTGTCGTGCTCCTGTAGGCCGCGGATGTTCTAGCCTTCGTTCCGCTGATGGACGTCTCGGTAAGAGGTTGTGCTAAACTTGCGAAATTTCCGGAATGTGCGTGTCTGCGAAATTTGCGTAATGTACGTCCGCGCGTAAATTTACCGACCGCCCCTGTTAACTCAGCTGCGCCGTGTTCCTCGAGGCTTCGAACCTCCTAGCCGTCGTTCCACTGATGGACGTCTCGGGAGGAGGATTCTCGCAAAAAATGTACTGAATTCACGGATCTGCGAACTTTGCATAATTTAGGTCCGCGAATAAGTTTACTGAATTCGCGAAAATTGGGAAATTTACGGCATGTACGTGTTTGCGAAACGAAGCGAAGCGAAGCGAAGCGCGCAGATTCGCCAAAGCAGGACCCTTGAGGGTCGGCGCGGGGGGGCCCTAGGAGCAAGGTGAAACAATGCACACGTCTAAACACCCAGAATGCTATGGTCACAAAGTTGGCCTGCCGCTCGCTGGTGGACGCAGTGCTGTTTGCCGCGACTGGTAAGTATCCAACGCGACGTAGACATCTTTCCATTCGGATTGTGGCTTTTTATGCCATCTTTCGAGCCCGCTCACGGCGATCAGACAAAGTCCAATTTTGCGCAGACGTGTCGAATGAACCTGCAGACTATAACACACCATCATATTCATTACTCAAAAAGCGGCCACCGGCGTCGCAAAAATGGGACTACTAGTCCCATTCTAGTCCAGGAGTCTAGGAATCGAGACTCCCAGTGTTAGAGTCGAGACTTGGACAATGGAGTCGGAATTATAGGAGCCAGTGATGGAAATGC